CCCCCCCCCACACAAATGTTTGTACAAACTCCCCCCTCCCAAATAGTAAACAAGAGATGCCTAGGATAATATTCAGAAAGGTTCTGACAGAACATCCAAGTTATGTTTTCTTCTGTTTTCAGGTTTAAAGTTCCAGAACTGATAACATAAGGTAACATGAAATAAAATCAGTTGTGCAAGTCCAGCCCTCGACAAAAACTGCAGTGCAGTCAACAATCCCGGATAGAATGTCATTTTAGCAAGATGTCATCTTTTCTGACGCAAGAAAAATTCTCCTACACAGACATTATTTTGCTGGCTCTTGTCAAAATGAAAACATTGAATGTTACTACATCCCATGGTCACTAATTCAACAGATTAATTGTGCTCTGAGATGAAAAGGCTACTCCTAAGGATGCTGCTTGTATGTGAGAGATAACTGTTCATTTACAGTTTCCGCAGCTCTTGTAAAGTATCTATGACAGCTAGTTGGATAGTACTCCTTGGGCCAAACATTCAAGAAATGTTAATGTAACTTTTGTGCTACCTTGCCACCCATCGCTGCCAGGCGTAGTCTATCAGACCAGGATATGTAAGTCATGGGTAAGAAATATAGTGGAAAATGTTGTCAATTTTGATGAGATTTTTTTTCTTATACAAATTGTTCATCATAGCTTGATGCCAATGCTGATATTGTACATTCTGTCTCCTAAAATTGTTTTATTATTGTCCCAATCTTCTCTTTCTAGGTTTGAGCAGAGGCCAACTGTGATTTGGGTGCTTTTCTCATAAGATATTTCAGTTTGCAGGCCACAAACAGCTATTCTCTGGCTAAAAAGCTAGCAAATGTGGTAATCCAGTCTGTTTCATTATATCGCATTAGACTGTATTGCTTTATGCAGTGGCCCATCTTGAACTTTCTTTTAAAAGCTGAAGAGGTAAGTTTGAGCCTTTGCACTTAAGTGTTTAAAATTGGCACTAGAGAAGGCTAGGTTCAACTTTAGAAAGAAAGTCATTGAGTAACCTTGGGCTAGTTTTGCCTCTCAGCCAAACATAACAACCTAGAGCAGGGGTGTCAAACTGCCGGCCCGCGGGCCGGACGTGTCATGTGGAAGCCACACCCACCCCATTGCCAGCAATGGCAAAACCGTCCCGATATGTTGCATGACATCATGTGACATCGCGAGTTTGACATGTCTGACCTACAGTATTTTTTGTGGGGATAAAGGGGAGGAGGGTCTGTTATTTATTCTGCTTCAAACAAAAAGCAGGATATAAATCCAACAAATAAATAGGTAAACAGATGTCAAGTTATCAACCACTGTGAAGTTAGCCCCTTCAGAATATCTCCTTTTAACTCTGAAAATAGTTCAGTTATTGCTACAGAATCTCAGAGGTGTATCATAGCCTAAAGGAGATCTGGCAGGGTTTCTAAGCTTTTTATTTCACAGCTATGTACTAACCAGGGGTGTCAAACTGCCGGCCCGCAGGCCGGACGCGTCACGTAGAAGCCACGCCCACCCCATTGCCGGCAATGGCAAAATCGGCCCAATACGTTGTGCGATGTCACGTGACGTTGCGAGTTTGACATGCCTGTACTAGACCAAGTATTAAATTTGAATTAATGGTATTGAAAAAAATCTGCACTTGCATAGTACACTAAAAAGCATGTTTCTTTACAATAGCTAACCCTGTTCCAAAGGGACAGCTGTCTGACAACAAGTATACTGAATATTCATTTGAATTTAAGTGCTTGGATTGTCACGCTTATGTGCTTACTTCGCTTTACTGAAATAAAAAATGTTATAATGTAAATGTCCTTATTCAAATATAGGAAGAGCTTTCAAAAAAAAGTATCACCCACAATAAGCATAGAAAGCACGCAACTGTTTGAATATTGTGAATTCCAAGAAGAAAGAAATAAGTGATACATTCTTAGATTTAAGGAGTAAAGGTTGCTTACGGTCTTCTATGAAATATGGATCGGTTTCCGAAGTGTAGTGTTCCTGTTCAAAGTCAACCAAGGCATCTTGTCCGTATGGCCGGGATCCAGGTACAGGAATGTTGCATAGCTGGGCATAGTCCTCTGGAAAGAAACACATAAAAGTAGAATGTACTTTTAGTCCTCGACTTACAACAGTTTGTTTAGTGACTGTCTGAATTTACAATGGCACTTAAAAAAGTGACTGACCATTTTTCACACTTATGACCATTGCAGCATTCCCATGGTCACATGATTTACATTTGGATCCTTGACAACTGACTCACATTTATGACAGTTGCTGCTGTGACCTTCTGACAAGCAAAGTCAACGGGGAATCCAGTTTCACTTAACAACCCTAATTTGTTACTAATTTAACAACTGCAGTGATTCACTTAACAAACGTGGCAAGAAAAGTCGTAAAATGGGGCAAAACTCAAATTTCTCACTGAGTAACATAAATTTGGGGCTCAATTTGTGGTCATAAGCTGAGGACTTACGTTTTGAACACAAATGTTCCTATGCTCGCTTTCCATCTTTATCCATATATGTTGCTTTCTTTTCTTAAAGATTAAAGTTGCTTAAACACCTCACTGCCATGCCCCAACTCCACTGAACTTGAGCAATTCTGTTTTTCATTTGTTTCAAAATCACACAGGACAATTCCATGTGAATGTCTAAAACCAATTAAATTGTGCTATTTAAAATGGGGGGGGGGGGCACAGAGTAAAAGCTTGAATGTTTGACTAGAAGTTTCTCATTTGGTTGCTAGATAAAGGATATACATGCAGAATGCTTTTTGTTTCACCAGATAATTGGAAGATGGGTTGAGCAAATTAAACTTGCATTCTTTTTATCAGGCACCTCCCTTTCATTACAAATATAATATATTGTGAAGTGAAGCCATAAGTCTAACTATCTTGTGGCTTTTTCAGTTCTATAGGAAAGGAAACACCGCAGCAAGCTTAAGGCTGAGTTGACAAGCACCCTCTCACTGAAATCTTGCTTTTAATATCAACTACAAAGCCTTAGGCATGCCACTATTTCACAACCTCAACCCTCTATCCCTAATGAAGATATAATAATATTGATCCACAAGGATATGGTATAAACACTAAGGATAATATGTTCAAACTACTTGTTCACAACCAAAAAGTAAGGTTTTCACAGAATTTGAGTATGCAGGTTTATTGCAAGGGAAAAGGCAGTTAGGTTACAGTATCTCTCGCTCTGGATATCAATATCGTGGCTGTCATTAAGAGAATACATTTTATATATAACTTTTATTGCTTTGATTCTCTTTTTGAAAGAAACAAAATTTCAGTTGCTAAGCAAGGCAATTGTTAAGTGGGTTTGGCCTGTTTTACGACCTTTTTTTTGCTACAGTTGTTAAGCTAATCACGGCATTGTTAAGTGAATCATGTGGTTATTAAATCAACTAGATTCCCTCATTGACTTAGCTAGGAAAGAAAAAGATCTTGATGGATGTTTCTATGTACCATTTAAAAAAACCTGTGTGATTATCCAGCCAAATATTTTATCAATACAATACAGTTTTGCATGGAATACTTTACCAAGGGAATTACATACATTTAAAAAGAACCTTCAGCGCAGAAGAACAGCCAGTATAAAGGAAAACTGGAATGAAAACATCTGAATGAAAGCCAAAAACAAGCTCATTTTGTAATTTTGGGATCAAAAGCAGAGAAATACATTGGTACTTTCCTAATCATGCATGATTTTCAGTAAAACAACTTTTGCTCCAAATACTTTTCTGTTTGCACAACTGGCTTTTGTGTTTCTCAAGGCTGGACATTTATAATGATTGATTTTGCTGTTTTTGTCTCTTACTAACTTAAAGAACATAACTTGCAGCAATATAAGCAATGAACTATTCCAATAAAATAAACTGAGTATAAATATTTCCACAATAACTGAAGTGGGTATAACTTTTTGCAGCTTTCCCTTCTACATGGACTACCCTAAATTATCTAACCTGGATGACTAAGAAACTGATTTGCAAGTATTATGAAACAGGAGATGTTGGATGGGGGAATCTGATGTAAAAGTATCAGAAGAAAAATGAAAAATGTAAGCAATTTTTTTATTTCACCCCTTTTCTCTACACAAATCCCAGAATATATTTTGCAAGAATTCCTGTAATTTAGAATCTTATTTGGAAGAAATGCCAACTATTTTATTTAAAAAAAAATAATTCAAAATGAAAGCATTTTCCCATGAAAGGATTCTTTACAATTAATTCCAAACATTTATTCCAAAATTATTTGGACCCTTAATTCCTTTGCACTTTCAAAAATCAGAGTTTTAATCATATTTTTGCTCTTTATTCCCATTTTTTTTAAAGTCTTTAAACATATTTAAAACATCTTTCACTAAGGTTTAAAGGAAACTACAGTTAATGTTACTATGGTAGTACTGAACTCTGCAGGTAGTCCTCAGTCCTCAACTTAGGACCATTCCTTTAACAACAGTGTGAAGCTATGACAGAGGTGAAAGAAGTGACCCATCCTCAAAATTATGACCATAGCACCATCACTCCAGTCATGTGATCATAATTCGGGCACTTGGCAACTGGCTCACATATATAACAGTTGCAGCAGTGTCTTCTGGTCACATGATCACATGACCTTTCCAGCTAGCTTCTGAGAAGCAAAGTTAATGGAGGAAGCCAGATTTGCCATGTGATTCGCTCAGGGCTTTTTTTCTCGGAGAAAAGGTGGCGGAACTCAAACCTGGCCACGCCCTCATCAAACCCTAGGACCGCCCCTTTAGAGAACAGGAATGCAAGTAAAATTTGGGAGGGGCTATTTCCGGTGTGGGAGGGGCTATTTCCGGTGCGGCCGGCCCGGAAAAAGGTGCCGGAACGCGGTTCCGCCGCGTTCCGGCTGAAAAAAAGCCCTGGATTCGCTTAAGAATAGTATGATTCACTTAACAACCATGGTGATTTGCTTAATGACTGTGATAAAAATAGCCGTAAAATTTGGTCTGGCTATGTGATGACTTGCTTAACAACTGCATTATTTAGTGACAGAAATTCTAGTCCTAACGGTGGCTGTAAGTCAAGGACTGCTGATGTAGACTAATGATCTAATTTGGCAGTTTTCTGTAATTATGTGTTGAGTTTGTATTGTTTATCTGTTTCCTGCAGGATCTCTTAAGCTGTTGCTTGACTTTCTTCTCAACAATCTTCCATCCTTGCAAGCTGAATGAAAATTGTCCAAAACTTTTGGGTCCAGTGATGGTTTGTGCGTGGGGTACACCGCCATCTATTTTAAGGCTAGAGGGATGACTCCTTCCTTAGACAAGCTGATGTTACTATATGGAGCCAATCACATATCACTTCCTGAGCAGTTCCAGTAGGGACATGCAGCTTATCTTCAGGTATATAGGGACCTTGCCATTTCATCAGAAGTCACAGGCTCTACCTTCTTCAGGTAACCCCAGAAGACCATGCCCCAGGCACCTCAATTGAACATGTCCATTTAGAGCTCAATCTGAGTGTATGGGAGTGATTTAATTCACCAGATAGGTAGAATATTCTTCTCAGCACCCCTGAAGATGGTCCTCAACATTCTACATGATCAATGTACAGCCATGGACAAATATAAGGGTAAAGAAAGAGTTATTATTTTTCCTGAACCAAATCTATTTTATTTATCTGTTGTGAGAGAATATTGTTTTTCTAACAAACTAATCAAAGACAATAGAAGAATACCCACAATTCATACAATATGAATAGTAAAATCATCTGGATTTTCTTAATTTTTGCTGTCTTATGTTGCTTCAGTTGCTTAAGTGTGAAATGTAATAAGTGCATGATCCTAAGTACGGTTACTGGAAATAACTGGAAATAAATATATTTAAAGAACAAGATAATTACATTTGGCAATAAATTAAAAGTTGTAATACAGCATTTAAAAAAAAAGAATCCAAATGCTTATTCAATTGATTAACGTAGTGGGGGTGATACCACCAAACCCTGTTAGTGTAAAAATAACTTCAAGCATCTTTGATTTTTCTCTCTTAAGTGCCACCTGCTTGTTTCTTATTTTACTTAGTGACAAATGAATTCAGGGAAGGTACAAAAAATGTCAAAACTTCATTGTACTTGGTGTTATAAACTATCCTGGGCTACTGTTTTTTTTAAAACAGGCATTGTAATGATTATTAAAAGAACAGTGTGAAGTTGCACTAATATTTATTGAGCCATTTTTACAAATATGCTGCAGCAAATGTGACTATTTACATTTTAGAAATAGCATATTTTGATTGCTAAATGCACTAGATTTATGCTAACAAAATATGTGCTGTCACTGAAAATAAATCTTTAAACTCTAGCTATACATCTTTTGTATTTTTTTGCAACCTGGTAGTCTTATGCAAAGAAAAGCATAATTTACATTTTTAAACATTATTTATTTTCCTCCAACAATTGCAATGTAACTGTCTTAACAAAGGAGCCAAGTAATTCTTCAACAGCATTTCCACAGCCAACAGTTTAATTGCAAATGTAATATGGCATAATAAAGCATTTGCTGAGCCAGTTGCATCTATCATCCTGATCAAAGATTTTGGATCTCAAGTATTTATTTATTCAGCTGTGCTTATGTGGAATTGCATCATCTAGAACAAAAAACTATTAAAGGTTTTTCTTTTTCATTGAAACAAGCAAAGACGCTACTTAAGGGATGGAATATGTTCTTTTGTGTGATTATTTTTCAGAAGCATCTATTATTTTGGCCAGTCAGACTATCACTATATTCAACTAGAAAAGCTTGTTTATTAGGTATCTCTGCCAAGATTTTAGCAGGCAAGGGCACCCGGCCGACTTTGGAAACTAAGTAAAGCTGGCCCTGGTTAATAGGTGGTTGCCATGACTGGGGCAGGGTCTTTGACCAGCTTTAATTGGTGTGCCAGCTGTTGCCCTTCCTGGAGTGTGATGCACCCCTTAATCATTTTGTATTAGTTATTGCAATTAACTTTACGTGGGACTTCCTTTGAAGACTATGTGGCAATGTAATAAGAATTTTCTAGAATTTCTTAGACTCAATTATAGCTAGTTAATTAAGATGGACTCTGTAATG